ACACGACGCAGGGCTAAGCCCACACTACTAATATCCAGTGCATACAGATTTAACATTCATCAAATGGGGCCATTTCCTTATTATCTGCAGCCACTGAGGGAAGTGTGGAGGAGGATCATCTGTTCCATTCCTCCCTTCATCCTTCTCTTTACCCCGTCCACTTCATCTCTCCAGTCAAAGCAGCAGGTTTACCCATACAAACCACGTCATTGCTTCAGTGCCTCAGGCTTAAAGGTTACAAAGGTCAGGAATTACCAAAAGTCTCGATAGACCGCCTTGCTGCTGCATCCTTCCTAAAACCAATAAATAATTTGCTTTATTCATACTGTACCTCAGGCAAAAAGTTGTCTGAAAAAAAGTCATCTCAGTATTCTGACATTATTATATATGGATGTTTACAGTGACCCACATCTGAAACAAATTTTTTGGGGTAAAATAAAATAACTATATAAATAAGAATAGAAAAAAGTAGATGGAACAGATGCACACTCCACAACACTGCTGTAGTTTGTTACAGCATCCGAGAAAACAGCCAATTTGTGTATGTTTTGCTCACACACAGCCTGCTGTTGTCAGAGTGATTTTACATCTGTTTGGACAGCATGGATTGATGTCAGGTTTAGGTAGGTTGCCACATCTTAATAAAATATAACTCAAGGGCACCACCTAAGGCCTTTTTCTGTGGAACAAAGGTGGATATGAAATCACTCCACCCTCTTTGTGGACTTTCCAAACCAGTTCTGGAAAAGATGGCATTGCCAAATTTTCTTAAAATCCCATTCAGCTCACCACTGCACAGAATCTACGTGTGCACCTTGCAGTCCACTAGAACATCCACCTACAAAAATTGCCCATGTGTCCTGTTAAAGAGCCATGATAAGCTGCCATGCAAGACTAAATGTACATCTCTGGTGTGTATTCTTCTACTCTTTTTCACAGCAACAGAACAAAACCAACATCCCATTAAAAATTTAAGCTCAGTTTACTGGTCATGAGGTCTTTTTTCCCCTCCCATCTCTGACTGCTGGTGTAAAGCTAAGAAAAGCTCTTTTTTCCCCCACCACCTCCAGATCCAAACCACAGAACTGATCAGAAATCAATATAAACCAAATAGCTGCTGTTTTTATAATCATGTTGAAATTAGAATGCACTTGGTCATAAACCTATTATCACAGGGTATAGTCAGATCCCCAATAGGACATGATTAAGATACACAGTATAAATACAGTATCTCAGGAAAGGAAGTGATAGTAGCATGAGAAAACAAAGTGTCCTCCTTATCACCAGAATCAAAGTACAAAGCTACCAAAACACCAGTAGTGTGGCAGTGAAAGTGGGTTTACATTCTTGCACACAATCATTTACAAAGTGCTAAAATTAGCCCACAGTACGTAGAGGAGTCACCATGGTTTATGGAGCCAATAGAGCAGTATAACTGAGCCAGTTATACTGCCATTAGTACCATTGATAGCCTGGATTAATTTAAAATCTTTCAACATACAGCACATCCCAGCTTTGTGTCCTTCCCCTGATTTCATACACGTGACCTAAAAGCAGCTAGAACCCATGACAACACGCTAGCTCTGCAGGTTTTCCCCATGAGCAGTTCCACACAACAGATGTGTCACTGTATGTGAAACCATGATGACAGGTACATGTTGGTATGCCTGTGACCTGAAAATCAGAAATTCCAATCTAAAAAGATATACAACACACACACTGGGTGACAGACTGCAAACAGTCTTCACTAGTCTGCATTTCCAGGTCTCCAGGATGTTTCCTCATCAGAAATACATACTTCTTAATGTAAATAATATTTACATTGACTTGATAAATCACCTGGGGACATGTCTTGGCACTGCATATGGCTTTCCTTCTCCACAATGCCAAATCCAAGGGGACCGGGTTGTCATATGGCACCATATACCCGCTGTGATATAATACTGCTGGCCTGCCAGATCCTGCCCTCTGCTGGGACATTGCTATGTGTGTTTTGTGTCCTTTTTGTGGGCAAGAGAGAATGAGAAAGATACGAGATAGGATGAGAGAGTGGGTGTTTGCGACAGGACCCATCTGTCCCTGCCCTCTGTCCCACAGAGCCATTGGCTTAGACTAGGCAAAGTCCAGCCGGACACAATCAGCTGACACACCATGGCTTGGACAGCGAAATGCCGCTTTCTCTAATTAAGCTTATGCTCTTTGTCAACTTTCTCTCCATAGATGCCAGCATCTCAGCACGCCAAAGGGTTGTGAGTCAGGCTTTCTGAGTGGAGAGCCGTGGACACTTGCTACAGGGGTGCACTAGGAGGGGTGTCCTGAGAATACTTGGCCTGCAGCATGGCGATATGGTGATGAGAAAACAATACAAACCCAGGACAACCAGGTATTATGGACAGGAACAGCACCACCACAGGGCTCTGACATTTCAGCACATTACGGTGCTAACAATACTCTGTTTTCTGCCAGAAATCGAGGTTATGAACAGAGGCCTGTCTGGCAGAGAGAAATTGCTGTGTCACTGAGCTGAAATGAACACATCACTAGAGATATTGTCCATTTAACATGGTGACACTAATAAATTCATCGCCAAATATCCTTGACTCCCGGATTCAAATATAAAATGAGGGGTGATTCAATATGCCAGGTGTAATCACCATGTGCAGTAATGAGCAATGGAGAGAATGACGGCAGAGCTTTTTCTCTGCCAGGGTAGATTATAGATTGTAGTAATTGCAGTCCTGCCTTAATTATGGATGTAGCACTTCCATGTAGCAAGCAGAGGCAATGTCTCAGCCACCTTATCTCTAGTATCTTCTTAACTGTGGTGGCAAACATCAGTCAATATGTAATTACATTTTGGGCTTTTGGTATACAAATTAATTATAAATTTTCATTGATAATCATCTAACTCGTTTCCAGCTTCCTCAAAATGTAGGCTCTTTGATATGCATATAACGAATACAGCGCTTCTTTTTCTATACGACTAGACTCAAGTTGCTGTTCAAGGGTATCCAAACCAGTCACGTCAATTTATATGTATAGCACATTTAAAATCAACAGTAGTTGGCCAAAGTACTTTACATACAATACAAACAAAAGGCATATACACTGATCAGCCATAACAATATGCCCACTTGTTACAATGGCACCTGTCATAGCTATGGAAGCAAACTGATTCACGGAAGATGCAGAGTGACATACTGTAAGTGCACACTGATTCCTGTGTACACAGTATGAGGCAGGTAGTTATATTGTTATGGCTAATCAGTGTATAAAACACAAGCATAGAACAAAATTACAGGCAGTTAAACAGGACTGTGTCTCAGAGCGAACTAAAAACAAGAGAATAAAAGTGAGTTTCGACTTGCCCTTTAAAAGAGAGGACATTTGGTGCCATTTGGATGTGTAATGTTATATTATTCCACAGTCTAGGGGGTCACAACTAAAAAGGCTCACTCACCTCTTATTTTCAATTTGGCCCTTGGAACAACTAAGAGCCCCCGGTCCTTAGACCTAAGTGACCTAGTGGGAGCATACAAATGCAAGACTTGCAGGATATGAGGAGAGGCTGAGCTATTTTGGGTTCTGTAAGTCACAAGTAGTATTTTGAATCCCAAACCGAACCAGAAGCCAGCGAAGCCAGAGTTGGTGTGATGTACCCATGCTTGCGTTTTCCTTTCAACAAGCACACTGCTGCATTTTGGACCATTCGTGAAGGGACAAGTTGGAATGTATTTATAGGACATACCCATCTCTGTTGTCCTCTTCATCTGGGTTGGAGATGAGCTGGGATCCAGCAAGGGATATGTCAAGAGCAGCCAAAGGCAAATCTCTGTAGGCGAAGTTGAGCAGCTGAACAGGGGCCACGCACTGGTTGTCTTCCTCTACCTGCTGGGAGATCACCTCCAGCTCCGAGGCACCAGCCTGAGGAAGAGCCCTGTGACACACACACACACACACACACACACACATCCATGGACAGTTTTGCATGTTTACACTCCTTATACACCAACTAAAACTGTATCTGCTGGTTGTCACCATATGCGGTGATGTCAGGTTCACAGTAAAGATGCGAATAGTAGCAGGTTGTACAAAAGTGTGCTGTTCATTTGAATTAGCCAGTGCACCTACATGGACGGTAACAAAAGGTGATAATACCTATTGGGACTATGCCTAATTTTGATGAATGAACATGCAAACAAGGAGTGAAACTTGTTTCCAGTGTATTCTGAGATTATCAACAAGGACACACTTACCTGGCAAACCAAGACAAGCTGATCTACACTTCTCTTTAGTCTCAAACCAAAACGCAAATGGAATTGTGCATTCATATCAAAATATTCAGTTTATTGCTTAAAACGACCCCAATGTCAGCTTGAACCACAAACCATTTGTACTTTTCTTTCTAAATATTTTCCAAAACATACATATGTTCATGTGTAGAATAAGTTGATAAGCCTTTGCTTTCTATTCATAACTACTGACTAAAACTTGAAACATGCTTGAGATGACGGCGGCTCCATTACGCTGAACAATTTGACATTTGTTTAAAAACATCTATCCCAATTGCTAGAATTTACAATTTTAAAATCTCTATTAGTGCAATCCTGTGTGTTCAAATACCTGATATTTCAGTGTTAGCTGCCAAAGAATCTTTTTAAGGCAGGAAATGATCAATTACTATTCGCTGACGTTTGAGCCAAGTTTCTAGATGAGAGCATGGTAAAACTGATGATGGAAACAAATGACTTGTGGCCAAAACATACACAACTACTAAAACAGCTATATAACAAAACATCCAGCCATCCATTTTCCTCCGCTTATCCGGGACTGGGTCGCGGGGGCAGCAGTCTAAGCAAAAATGCCCAGACTTCCCTCTCTCCAGACACTTCCTCCAGCTCCTCCGGGGGAATGCTGAGGCGTTCCCAGGCCAGCCCGAGCCACCTCAGCTGGCTCCTCTCGATGTGGAGGAGCAGCGGTTCTACTCTGAGCTCCTCCCGGGTGACCGAGCTCCTCACCCTATCTCTAAGGGTGCACCCGGCCGCCCTGCGGAGAAAGCTCATTTTGGCCGCCTGTATCCGGGATCTTGCCCTTTCGGTCATGACCCAAAGTTCATGACCATAGGTGAGAGTCGGAACGTAGACTGACCAGTAAATTGAGAGCTTCGCCTTACAGATCAGCTCCTTCTTCACCACGACGGACCGGTACATCGACCGCATTACTGCAGAAGCTGCACCGATCCGCCTGCCAATCTCCCGTTCCATCCTTCCCTCACTCGTGAACAAGACCCCAAGATAATTGAACTCCTCCACTTGAGGCAGGAACTCCCCACCAACCAAAACAGTATTTGTCAAATCTGATAAATGACATAAGTGTTATGGTTCCCCCTCCCCCTTTCTATTCATCCACTCTATACTTTGGATGTTTTCTCTGTTAGGTTAGCTATATTTGGCAGAACCAGACAAAGTGTCATTTTATCTACCGATAAGATCTTAAAATGTAAATGTATAGGGAGGGTTGTGATCTTTCAAGCTCAGCCAATAGCGGACAAGGAGAAGTTACCCTGGAAAAGGAGTCTCACACGACTTGGCAGCCGTCCCAGTGCAGCCAGTGTGGAGACATCAAAAACTCCAGTGCTAAACAGTGGAGGAAGGCAGTGATTACATGATACAGGGAACAAAAGCCATTGGGTTGGTGAGTTCTGCAACCTCTGTGCTGGAGGTGAAACAGAATGAGAGGAAACAGCTGGTAGAAGATCACAGAGCAGACCCACCTTCCTGTTAAATGTTAATGTAGGCAGCCCTGGAAAGGAAAATAGATCTTTCTTTTTCTGACTTAGTTCTTGGCCTATTCTCACAGGAAACCAAAAACCACAAGCTTCTCTTATTCTTATGTCCTCACTACATAAGATGGCTCTTCCTCCTTTTAAATATCCTACCCTTTTGTCCCGTTAGACGTGTTGCTTAGCTTGAGGGTCAAGCACCCATATATTAACTTGCTTGCCACAAAACACGCCTGCACATTCCGATGTTAACTGTGGACTTTGCACCTCTGGCTGACTGCAACAAGGGCACTAATCAGTCACAACAGAAACAAACTGTTCAGTGCATCAAAATTACATTGCCAGACAATCACAGAACACACAGTATAGATACCGGCTTTCATCAAACTGGATTTGACAGTTCTAGGTGAAAAGTTATCCAATCAGAAGAGTTGTCCCGCCCCCAAGCCCCCAC